AAACAATTTTTCCAATAAGCTGAGAAATTCAAAACAATAAAAAGAAATCAGACTGTGGGTTGTTAGGCGTTCACAGACCCGAAGGACGAATACGAATGAACAAGACACTTATATAACTGTATGCAAAATACTTAACACCAAAAATACCGAAACACAAACAGACAAGATAATGCACGTAATTAACCATATAAGAACGTGCAGAAAACAAATATCTGCTAAACTGCGTACCGCAGATATTTTTGCATTCTCGATAACTTCGCCTTCGGAAGACTTCGGGCTTCTTCGGGAATCTTCGGAAATGATCGTGTCGTCTTGAAAAATCCCAGCACTCCCAGGATAAAAATCTCACGCTTATATCTCAGAAAAAGTTGGCAGGTATAAAAATCCTGGATGTTACTTTTTTATTTATTTATTTATTTTTTAATAATCAGCTTCTTTTTTTTTTTGGGAACAGTGTTAATGTTTAATTTTCAGAGGTGATTTCTATATCATTAAGACTACAATACAAATACTTAAAGGTTGTTTCATCCTAAAAAGAGGTCAGTATTTAAAAGAATAAGTACATTTCTAAGCTTTATAAGCCTTATCGGTGGAAGACAAGTGTTCTTCATGAAAAGGAAGTGAAGGGGCTACTATTAATCATGAGTTTGCTTCCCAGCTGTATTCTATTGGTTACCAATTAACCGTTTTACATAACATTTTTAAAGGGTTGCAGTTCGCTTTTTCAAAGACCTGAATGAAAATTACCTTGGGGAATGGTACATTTATACCTGAAAATAACAAAAGAACTTGCCGCTTTACTATGAAAATTGATTTGAGAAAGTTAGAAACAGCGTTTCCGTGGTGGTCCGCAAGCAAATTTCCTTTCTCTGCTGAGCTTTTTACCATGTTTTATACAGTTCTCAACTACGGCTTCTTGTCACTGATTGTCCGTAAATAAATTTGAATGGAAAATTAAACCCTCGTTTGAGCTGGGTACTTGAAACATCAAGCCTCGACAGTTTTACCGCTAATAAAATCATTTTGTCAAGAGTCAGTTGTTAACTTGTAAAATTCGATACTCGCTGAGCTTGTATAAAAGCAGAAAAGAAATCGTCAAAGCCGTGACAAAAATAATTAAACTCTTCCCGCTTTTCTTGTGGTTTGTAGAAAATTAGGCTGTGCCTTTTTTAAAGGTGTTTTGTAGCTGTATACATGTAAGTTTTCGCATAGTTTTAAAGTAGTTAGGCTTCTAGTTTGGTGCATAAAATTATCGGGCGCTGGAGTCATTCTTCGCTCTCACAAATTCCATTATCATTTACTCAGTCTTTTGCCTCTACCGCTTTTGTACCCTCCAATAGGTCATTTTTAGTGGTGCTTGCTTGACTATCGCTGACAAATTAGTGGATTACTTGTAGGCTAGGATAAAAATTAAACCAAAACAAATTGATAGTCAGTGATTGTGCTGATAGTCAGGTGAATAATTATCCTCAAAACATTCGAACTCGTAACATTGAGTTTTAGCCAATTTTGTGCTCAACGTAATTGACTCCTTACCCATGCCTTACATATCTTTAATCAGTACATGAGAATGCAATGCTGTTTTTGAAGCCTGATGTGACTAAGAAAAATAAAAAATTCTTTTTTCACAGTTTGTTTTGTTAGACTTGTTATTCACGGCCAGTAACCTCATATTTGACTCAGGTCTAAACGTTTTGACCCAAGTCAAATTTATAAGGATTTGTATGGAGTCATCAGAGCATAATTGGGCTAAAATCTCAGAGACAATTTATCCCGAAATGCTAGTTTTTGGCGAATGGGTCTCTTGGATGTTGCTCTTTTCAGAATATCCTGACAAATCCCATAATTTCACAATTTGACACCTTACTCTTACCATATTTCATTTCTTACTATTCCTCCGCATTTACAATTAATTCCACACCCACGTCGCCGAAGTGTACGCTCCATAGCGTCTTGTTGGCTTAAACTAAAGTATTACGGCTTCCGTGGAATTGTCAGTCAACGGTTTTCCTCGTATTTATTAAATTAACTTTTGCCGTGGCAGATGTGGGCCACAGTAAAAATGACTCTTGAGTGGTTCTACACTTCAAAGTTTATTTCTGCATGTTCACCAAACAGAAGTACAATTACGTACGACTATTTAAGTTTATTAACATTCGACTGACCGTCTTTCTATGTAAGAATACATGGAATAAACAACGGAACTGAACTGCCTGCTGGTGGTTCTCTCGCACTTCTCTCTTGTTCTTAAAAATTTCCACATGCTTACGTAACTCAGGATTGCACTTGGTGTGTTTGCGACCCTGGCTGGCATACAACATTCAGCTGTTTGCGGTATTCCAGTTGCTCCAAGAAACCGCTTTGAAAGAGATTTGTAACAATCTTTCCGAGCATTCCTATTCCAGAACACGATCAATCGAACGGACACCCACACTTCAATTACCTATACGCAATATATACAACTATAAGTAAGTTGAGTATGATCGTCCGGGTGAACGTAGTCCTGAATAGAACTGTTTTTGTTGACAGTGACTGACGTTTCTACAACTTGTGCGGTAGTCATCTTCTGATGCTCGGTCACCATTTTTGGAGGCCGAGAGTAAATTACGTGAAGTCCACTTTCCCAATTGCAATCTTTCTTTTAAGAAAGGATTATTTGTTAAACAACCAAAAAATCTTCAATGGGTTCTTTTCGTTTTCCTTGCTTTGTTCAAACATTCGCGGAGATCGCAGATCAGCTTAGCATCCTTTGGTCGCGATACGTCTACAGAGGAAAATATTTCATACAAAATTTCTATGAAGTAATCAAGAGCCCTTTCATCATCAATATATAACTTTCGAGCTTTTCTCTTGTTTGCCAACCACCTCGGTATCAGATAGTGAAGAAAAGTAGCCGTCTCTTTCAGCTCCAAAAATTGGGAAACGCCATCGATTATCTCCTGCTCATCAATATTTGAATTTTCTCTGTGAATAACATACGAAATAAACGATACGGGAAGAGGGGATGGTGCACACAAGATACAGTCTAGTAACTTGCAATAAAGATCTCCCCCTACTTTATCGTAAACACGCTGTAAATTTGTCCTAAAAAATTCCTCAACATCAGGCGGGAAAAAAACGGCTCTGTGATGCGCCTCACCCAAACGAATAGAATCGTTAAGTTCTTTCGCAATGTAGAAAGCATACAAGAACAGTCCGTTGCATTTCTTTGCAACGTCCTCCGCTGAGAAACGGAAATGGGAGAAATTTACATTATTTACCAAAAATCGTTGGATGTCTTGTTCATGCTCCTGACAGAAACAGTTCCCTTCTCCGTTTCCTGCGCGTATCCTAACACACGGATTGTACCTCTTCAAACGCGTCTGTACCATGTCCTCTGGGCGACTTGTGATGAAAAAAACAAGACCTTCTGGAAGCCGAGGGAAGCGCTCTTTTATAAGGAAAAGAAAATCTTCCCTGGACTTATACTCTGTCTCATCTAGAGCATCAATAATAACTAATTTGCGTGGCTGAGATGGGCTGCACTTACCTAATGGCTCTTCTAGTAATTTAGTACAAAGTTCCAGAACCCCAAAATTAGGATTGGCTAACATTAATTTTACACCATCTTTGCCTCCTATTATATTATTGTACTGACTGTTAGAATCACAGAGTTGAGATGCTATTGTCGCAAGAAGATTCCTAGGATCATTTCTAGTACTGTCATTATGACGGCAAAAGTAAGCAGCTCCTAGATGTTCAGCCAACTTCGTCCGCTGCGCTAAGGCTCCTGACATCACACTTTTGCCGACACCAGCATCACCTAGAAGAACGTATGCTTTGGAGTCTTTAGGATCATCGAACCACTTGTCAAAGTCGTCAAACAGCCATTGCCTTGTGTCTGGATCATGACGATTGGCAAAAAATGTGATGTCTGCTTCACAGTTGGCAATCTCTGTAAAACAAACAAATAGAACCAGTAACTGTAGTAATTAACTGACTGACACACTAACTTTACAAAAGTTTGAGTTTGATCGTCCGGGTGAACGTAGTCCTGAATAGGACTGTTGTTGTTGACAGTGACAGTTGGCCCAAAATGTCATATTGAACCGTTAACCGCGAAAACCTGGGGACGAGACTGAGTAAAAACAAAATGGCTGAACAGTAGCCGAAACATTTCACTCGTTTCACGGCGAAATATTGTCTAAAATCAGCAAGAAGACAACTCGAAGGACGACATCTGCTACTTGGAGTATATCTACAGACCTCGACAGAACTTTTATATCCTAAATTTCCTGATGACGATGCACTATTCAGTATTGATATGAACTTAACATCGACAGAGGTAAGTAAGTTTTAGCTTGTTTTTAAACTTGGAATTATTTTGAAGGAATAATAAAATAGTCACTGATATCGGCTTTCGTCGGCCTCGGTGGATAACACCCTCCCTGCAGAATTCTTTGTATCCTACTCAGCCTCATTCAATAATTGCTAATTATGCACTGATCAATGTCATGCCGGATGGGGGGACCAATGAGGTGGAGACTTTGATCGTCCGTGCCCGCCCCATTTGGGGAATTTTAGCAAGGATCGAGAAGTTTGAACAATGCTAAAAGTTGTTGGCCCCAGGGTCGGGAAGTTTGAACGATGCTTAAAATTGCTGATCCCTTAGTGGAGAAGTTTGATGATGTTTCACGACAGAAAAAAGCTACCTGGATTATAAATGCGAGTAGCTTGGATACGAGTGTTCCGCCATCTTCAAAATGCTCAAAAATGTTAGAATCCATCAGGGAATTGAGTAGTTTTAATTTTCAGTGAACAAAAATCTTGTACCAGAATAATTTAAAGCATATTGTTTTCTTTTTTTTCGCATTTTTCAAGGGCTAAAGACATAATAAATCATGTGTAACACTAATCTCGTACCCAGATCTCCCACAGCCAAGGGAAAAAAAACAGAGTGAGATCTGGGTACGAGATTAGTGTAACACCAAATGGAAGTCATGAGAAAATAAATGTCAAATTTCACAAAAATTGTGATTACACAGGTAAAATTCTGAAAATTTCATGTGTAAGTTGTAATTTTTGTCAAATTTGACATTCATTTTCTCAGGCTCCCAAAAGGAATTTTTTTGGTGCTACTTCAGATGATTTATTACATCTGTAGCCCTTGAAAAATGTAGGAAAGAATGCAATATGCTTTAAATTATTCTGGTACAAGACTTTTGTCCACTGAAAATTAAAATAATTACTCAATGTCCTGGTGGATGCTGTCTTAATTCCTTTAGTACCGCAACTAATTTGAGGTGAAGCAGAACCCTGTCTCTCAACTTCCACTTGTGTTAAGCCTTGTTGAACGTCACCTTGGCCTGACTTCAGACACTCAAAAGCATCCTCTGAACATTCTGCCCTACGTTTTGTTCCAGTCACTTGTTTCTGCAAACCAGTGGCCGGCGTAGTATCGATCGAGGCACCTGACGTGAAGGAAAAGAAATGTCATAACAGAAGAGGTCTTCGTAGCCCGCGAAAACATCCGTTTCTCCTCGCTCTTTGCCGCTGGGGACGTGTTTTCTGTTGTGTTCATCTGCCAACGAGCTCCAGCAAATCTCAAATGCTTCTTCTAGAGAAGACTATATTCCACAAATATTGATTGTTTTGTTAGAGATTCTTCGCGTTTACATTTGACCTTTGTGGCCTTTTGTCTGTCATTCGTAAACAATAGCTAAAACAATGTAACTACTCCGTCGACCAATCAGCTCTTCTGACTGGATTCCGGGCAGATTTTACGTCATCAGTATGGAATTTGTGTCGCTGAATCGCAGACATTCCTTCACGCGAAATGTCCCCAGCGGCGAAGAGAGAGGAGGAACGGATGATTTCACAGGCTATGGTCTTCGAAGAGGTCTGGTTATTACCAACAGAAATCTGCATCATTAAGCCCCTGAGGGACTTATTTATTTATTTGAAGCACATTGGAGGGGGTGTGAATAGTGAAGATGGTTGTATCAATTCTGCATAAAGAACTAAGATGCTAAGTGGAAAAGCTCAGCCCCATGAAGTTTGACTTCATGCAGCTGAGGTTGAAAATCATAACTTCCAGCACATAAATAAACCATAACAGATCAGTCCACATGAGGTGTTAATTATAGATAGTCATAATTACTGAAAGAAGGAGGGGTTATAGCAGGGTTCATACAAAAAATTGCAACCATTTTTCAAGGACTTTTCAAGGACCATCTGCTAGGAATGGCAATAAAATCTAAAAGATATTTATCACATGTTTGTCCAAAAACAAATTGTTAGAAAACAATTTGTTATATTCTGTTGTCAGCTTTAAAGAATTCTCTGCAAAAAAATGCTGATAGTAAATTAACAAACTCAAACATATCTTTCATGATTTTAAGAAAATTTCTATGAGAGTAATTCAAAAGTCATACCATGCTGAACCATGCTGACTATCTTGTCCCGAAGGTCTCTGGTTTGTTTAGCCCAGTCATATTTCTTCTCGTAGCTAATTCGCATTCTTTCAGCCTCCTCAAGACGACTCTGCCTGTCTGTTACCCTCACTTCGGGATCCTCGGAGGCAATCGCAAATGATAAACCAAATGGCAACTTACTTAGGGCTTCCCCAAACCCAGTGTTCTTGCTTGCAAGCACAGGTACTCCAGCTGACAGGGCCTCAAGACAGGTGAACCCAAAGCCATCAGATCGTGATGGCATAAGTACTAGGTCCACCTCGTGAAACAATGTTTTCAATTCCTCCCGGGTCTGCACAGAGCGTCTTACCCTTAAGTATCTACGAGAAACACCACATTCAATCACCTTCTGTTCTAGTTTTTCGTTCAATGCATCTGGCACGCCGGCAAACACAAGACGAGTATCAGACAGTGTAGAAATGGCTTTGCAGGCAATGTCAAACCCTTTAAATTCAAAGTTGTCTTCATCTGCACAGTCCGCAAACAACAAGACATTGCAATACTTTCTCTCATCTAGACTTTGTGTCACAGTTTTGAAATCAGCAAAAATTCCTGGGGTAAAGGCAATGACGTTTTGATTTGTCTTAGAGTGGCAGAGATATGTCCTAAAAGCTTCGCACAACTTTGTCCCAACCCCCACAACAAGATCCGCCATTTCACATAGTTCTATTTCTGTTCTATGGTTTTCTTTGCTCTTTGCAGTTGGATTGGCACCGGATTTGAAGATGTTTTGTTCGTCTGGATCGGTGTAAACCACTTGCACCCATAAGCATTTTTTGGATTCTTTAATGATTTGTGCCTGGCGCCCCAGCTCCACCCCATGACCAACAATAACGTCCATCTCCAAATGTTCTGGAGGGAAGTTGAGCCATATTGATTTGTCAAAGCCAGGGCGCCTTTTTGCTTCCACAATTTTAACGTTGTTCCTGAGGGCTTCGTTCCTATCCTTTTCACTGCATGTTGTTAAAAAGGTAGTAATTTCCAATTCAGGGATTTTGGCAAGCTGTACGGCCAACTTTTTGCTAAAGGTGGCAATTCCATCATAAATTGACTCCCATTCTGAGGCCAAAATGGTGACTCTAACTTTACTGAAGTCAACAGCCTGGTCGTTTTCTTGAAGCTGCTGTGAAGTGGATGACATAGCTGGCAATTGCTCAACACCTTAAAAACCATAAGCACCTGTCAATAAAAGAACAAACAATTATTCTAAAAATCACTTACAGCATCCTCAGCTACAACGAGGCAGGGCTTTTGATATTATGCAATAGTGCGATTTTGCACATTTGGCCTCAAATCGAATCCGATCACACAATTTGAGGAAAATTGCATAATTCTTAAAAAAAAAAAGCTAAATTCAAGTAAAGTAAATAATAAATTCTACCTTAAACTAAACATTTTCCCAATCTTGATGTCATTTAAGGTGATTTACCACTAAAGAAAGCCTTGCAAGACTGAACTGAAACCTTCGATCACATAGCCGGGACCAGGCTCTGCAGTGGTGGAAAAAGGCAGAAAAACGGGGTCACAATGAATAGGAAAAATATCAGTGAGCGAAGTGAGCCAACGCGGACTCAGAGTTTTCTTTGTCTCACCCTCGTGGCATGCTGATTAATTCATTTTCACCGAGCTTAAGATTTACCACCTTTTGTTCTTTCACCACTATATTCCTTTCTATCTATTTGAACCCCTGACACAGTAGTGTGCGTTATAGACTTCCGTGAAGCGATACTGAATTAAAAACACCTTTCGCATGTTTTCCCACAATCCTGCTTATCTATACATCAATCCCATGCGAATGAAATTGTATGAACTAAATAAAACGGGATTTAATTGGATTATTACTTTCCTATTCTGATTCCTATTCTATTCGTCCTTTGACGTTCTAAATTAAATGTTTCCATAACCTTTTCAACTATTATGCAGTCAATGATATAAAGTAACATGACTGTGATAAATGCCGGAGTACAATCATGTTGTCTGAATGGAAAAACAAGGGCCGGTGTTTTTTTGTTAGTGTTTCTGTACGCCTTCCAAGCATGATTCTTTTGAAACTCAAAAACTGTCATTCAAATCATACAAGCAGTTTCAATTTCCGCATGTCATGAACCCTTTATATCTATTGTGTTAGCTTGTAATCAATCACACAGTCTCGAAGGTGTTTAACAGCGAGACAAAAAAAGCTAGCTTCAACCGGGGAGTTTGATGTCATTAGTTCTGAATTGCAAACCAGTCATGAATCTGATTGCCTTCGATTTACCGACCACCTTTCGCCTAATTATGTTATGTAAGTATCATTCTCAATTACTCTGCGATTGTTATTGGGCGTTCGGTCATGGCACCAATGGCCCACCAACGATAACAGACGAAAAGTGTTAGAGAAGACACTTACGAAAATTTTTCATGCAATTTTAGTTTTTTTTTTTAAAGAAGGATACATATCAAATTATTATCATTATTTAACTTTCATCTTCATGGTTCTTTAATCTGAAAAGTACGGAAGGAAAAAAAATTGGGTGGAGGAATCTTATTTCTCCCAGGTTGGCTGCTAATTACATCCTTTCACAATCCTAGACTATCTTGATTCCAATTCAGTCGAAGCAATATTTTATGTTTTCGAAAATTAAAGCCAATCGGATTGCATTTTACGCAACCAAAGATAACATGCATGGCATTTAACTGAAGATACTGTTACACACCGAAATTTTTAACGTGAAGACTTGCAGTCTAGCTTTGTGGAAAACAATTCCTCTGTCGTGAATGGTTTTACGTAGCGTAGAGAAACCAGTTTCGCAAAGTGTATTATACAAGATAGCTCGTGATTTATCATGAATGCGACCCTGCGAACGCTACAGGAGAAGAAGGCCAGTCTACTTTTCGTGGAAGTGTCTGCGCAGCGGATCCTCATTTGAAAACGTTCCAGATAAAGAAACATTCTTACTATAGACACAGGGTGCAAGTTTCAGCTTAACGTTTCAGGTTCATGCTGCAAGAGTACAAGTTTAATTACTCTGTATTGAAATGAACTGATAGCGAATTTTCAAAAGATTCAGGTTTTTTAAACTGTTCCTAGGTAAGACCGGTAACTATTAGTGCTGAAAAACAACTTACATAGCTGGGAAAATTAATATTAAAAAAATACCTATTGTCATGAGGCATGAAAGTTTAAGTATTGAAAAACGTCCACTGACTTCGTGACAGGATGATTTATATTACACTTGCATTTACCTAACGTGATACAATGCCTTCTATAAAATGAACAGTTTCGTATTCAGTTTCAGCGTTTGTCAAAGCCCACGGATTAGCTTTTGATTCTGAGCCAAACAACACAACGATAGCAGCGACAGGATCAAACCAAACATTCACCTGGAAGCTGTCCTTCGGAGAGAAAGATAAGTCAAAGCAGTTACAAGTTCAGTTTGGTCCTTGGGATCGGAAATACAAAATAGTGAAGTCATTTTTCATGACTGTTAAACAAGAACCATCTGGAGAAAATAAAACTGTGGCTAGAGCAAATCAATCGACTGCGAGGCGTTTGCATTGGAACGGAAACTTGTCTCGTGACTACTATATCGCTTTTGAATTTGTTCAATATTCAGCGCAAAGATGCTGGAGATTATGGAATAAGGCTCCGTGTTGACCATTTCCCTTCCACCATCTTACAGAACTGGTTCTCTCTTATTGTTCAAGTAAGAGGATTTTTTTTTCAGACAGACAATGGAAAGATCCCCCCCCCGCCCCCCTACCTTGTCTGCGGTCCTATAATCAATTTTGCGATTGCTTTTTTGTCGAATTTCACTATTAAAACTGGACATCATTTATTAGGGTTTCCGATTTTGCTCCGATGGTCTCCCGGTTATCCTTGACCATATGGGTCATCAAAGATGGCGAGTTTGTCTTTATACATGACGTGATGTCGTGATATATATGTCGCCATAAGTATCAAATACACAAATATCAACCCGTGTAAAGATTTGTATTCAT